AACAATTCTAATTTATTAATTACACTTTAACTTTTCATTACAATGCTCTAAACTAAACTGTGCGCCGATAAGTCGGCTATTTATATCAAGCCAATTCTGTGCTTGTAGTTTCCAGACTATCCCGAAAATTCCATCTCTATGACTCAACGGCAGTTTCTCGAAGCGTCAGCGGTATACCTAGAAGATTCCGTCGTTTTTTGTATATTTTTGACGTGGTCAGACTGTCTTCACACATCAGCGTTGATTATATCATGAATCGAGTTGCAGACTTCCAAGGTCGCGCTTACACAGGGTTGGCTTTGGGTCATAGTATTATTGAATGTAATTTAGTATTACTCTTTATTTTGAAGTTATTGTTATTCATAAAAAAATCATGGCAAGCTTTGTAAGTTTAAGTCAGTATTTTCCAAAGTGGTCCAGGTGGACCCCCAGGGATCCACGGGAGACTCGACGGGGGTGTGCGTTGGGCGTAATAAAAAATGGGGGTCCACAATTTTAAGCGGGGGTGCATGAAAATTAATTTGGTTTCGATAGTAAAGCAATATACTATTAAACAATTGATTACTCATTTTTCCATGTGATGAAGAAATTTTTGTAAAAAACTTCAACTGTTTATAATATAAACAGTCAACATTTTAGTTACTAAAATGTTGACTTTACTTTTCTTATCAATGGAGGCAGATAATATTTTAAGAAGCTCAGCGACTGTTACTTGTAAAAACTTGCATTATCCATATTCAGTACAACGCGTCGAGACTTGTCGTTGCCGCGCTGGCCGCCGTCCCGTCCGCAACGCTTGTTCAAACGTGCAAATTATTACAACTTGTGGTATATGTGCTTGCAATCTTGCATGAACGTGTTTGATTCTTCACCAATATAAATTCGAATGTCAAGGTAAATCGTTCTCATTTGTTTCTGGAATATCATAAAGAAAAGTGAATCGATATTAGTGTTGGCCAGTGACTGAATTTGTTTCCAGACTTTCGAAAAGAAAAGTAAAGTGAATCGTTATTAGGATTGCCAGTATCGGAAAAGTAAGTACCTACCTGCCCATTTGTTATATGCATATAGTTTTAAGCCGAGAAAGATTGAACTTATCGTTCCTACTTTATTTTTATTACCTATCTAATTCATTTAATTATTGCGGAGTTTTGATATCAAAATATTGTTTAAAAGTTTCTATAGAATTTACAGAAATATATTAAAATATAATGAATGAAATAATAATTTTATATCACATTAAAATAAGTTCAGCCGTTTTCATAAAACTCTATTATGGATCTTAGCGATTTATTGCTTTTAATAAAATTAGAAACAGTTTGCAGCCGGAACTTACACATTTACAGGTAGGTAATTGATACAAAACATGGCCGAATCTAAGAAGAAGTGTCGTCAGTACAGTGTTGAATATTTAAAATTTGGTTTTCTTCCATCAAAGGCAGACAACTAAATGCAACAAAGTTTTGAGCAATGACTCTATGAAACCATCAAAGCTGGGAGATCATCTAAGAAGGTGTCATCCTGATAAAATAGGTGAAGATTTGAAATATTTCCAAACATTAAAGGAAAAATATGAAAAGAGACCCACCGTGCACAGTATGTTCTCTTTAACGTCTGAAAGCAACGATGATGGCTTGCGGGCATCTTATTATTATTATTGGCATATGTTCGATTTGTTTTGGGCGAAGAAATTCATGAAGAGCTACTATTCGCGAAAACTTTAAAGGTGGACACTAAAGGTGAATCAATATTTAATGTTTTGAGTGATTTTTTTAAAGAAAAATCGATTCCATTCACAAACGTTATTTCGGTGGCAATAGATGGAGCACCTTCTATATCTATGAAAAGGGTAGATAAATACTTTCGGGAGAAATTGTTCTGAATGTCTGTTGTCAGAATAGAGAGAACATCCATCGTTCCATATCCATATGAATATATGAATCTCTTATAAATATTAATATTTATTTAAAACCAACCTAGCTCACATTTTTTTTTTTTTCGTATTTTTATCTTCGCGTTTTGCGTTCGCATTTACCATTATTCTTCTTCGAAAAAAATCGAACGGGAAGGCAGAACCAATAAGATAAGAAACGAGATGCACGTGGATCGATAGCGCACATAATGGTGTTATTTATATGTAAAACCACTATCCATTCTACGAAGACGTTGAACTCGATAATGCAGCACTATCAAACTTATAATTATATTTTAGAGAAGGCTTTTTTTGTTAGTTATGATTAATTTTAAAAAAATGTTTAAGAGTTATCTTGATGTTGGGAAACGCAGCGAAATAAATTTAAAAATGGGGCTCATATAAATAATTCAGTAAACAGTGTGGACGTGAAAAGTGGAAACTGAAATTATGTGTTCATGGTTATTTAAAATAATTAGATTAGATAAGATTTTTACTTGCAAAAAATATATACATAAAGAAAAATGAATTAATCGAAATAATCGAGTAATCGAAATAATTTATTAATCTGAATAATCGATTAATCGAAAATAATCGATTATATTCATACCTTCTAATCAAGACATCATCTTATATATTATTAATCGATCTATTGGAATATTATAATAAATTGGAATACATTTCGTTAAAAAATTGTTAAAAAGGACAAAAATGTTTGCCAACTGTCTTCTTTCTTGGGAATGTGTCCATTGCGCCAGCGAACTGATTATGGAACAAAAATATTTCTGAGACACCCTACATTATCAAATTTCCTTTAATTCCCCGAGCAGCGTGTAAACATAGGCGTATAAACATTAACAAAAAAAAAAAAATACGAAACATTTTGTGAAAAACAGGAAACCAATAAAATTTCAGCCGTTTATTTAAAACGCAGCTATGCACACAAACTAATTGAAGGTAAACGAGATCTTAAAATAAAAGCAACAAGCATTTGGTATATCGTTAAGAAAAACGTAATTCGAATTACAACTTAAACAGTGTATATAATCTATTCACTTTATATTTAATACCTAGTCAAAAATTTTATCGTGATCACCACGTTAGCGATCATAATAAAAAAAAATGTAAATGAAAATTATCTCCTGTAATAAAATTTCCCATTTCGCGACTTTAAAAAATCGTACCGTCCGAACGGATGGATCGATTTTGATGAAACTTGGCTAAAAAGAGTAAACTTACGGGAAGCTTTTTTAAAAAAATTGGCGTCAAAATCCGCTCGGCGGTTTCCATGGCAACCGCGAAAAACCACGAGAAATCGTGCAAAAATCCGCCGGGTGCCTTTTCCGCGAATTGGGTGCACGGTGGAAGGGAGTATGCGTTACCAGTCGGTGCTCAAGACATGCGAGGGGATTGATAAGAGGGTATTTTCTGCCTCTTGTCAACTGTCACTTTTTATGACGTTTTGAAAATTTCTTTATCGTTTTTCGACAGTTTATTAAAAACAAATTATATTTTTAATATTTTTCCTAAACTCCCTTTATCCATCTCTACCTCACCACGCACACGGATTTTTCGTCAGACGCCATTTTTTCGGATGGATCGATTTTGATGAAATTTAGCCAGAAGGTGTACACTTATGGGAAGCTTTTTTAAAAATCGTCAAAATCCGTTCGGCGGTTTCCATGGCAACCGCGAAAAATCACGAGAAATCGTGCAAAGACCGTGCAAAAATCTGCCGGGTCCATTTTCCACGAATTGGGTGCATAGTGAAAAGCAGTATGCGTTACAGGTCGACGGGACATGCGAGGGGACTGATAAGTGAATGTTTCCTGTTACCTGTCTACTGTCACTTTTTTATGACGTATTGAATATTTCTTTATCGTTTTCGACGGTTTATTAAAAATAAATAATTTTTTATTATTTTTTCTAACCATCCTTTGTCCCTCTCTACCTCACCACGCATACGGATTTTTCGTCGAGCGCCATTTTTTCCGGACAAAACTCGCATGAGGGATTTCTGGACGAAACATCTTGTCAGCGACCGCGTAGGGGTTGCTGCACTGTGTCTAATCAATTTTTATATTATTTTTTAGACTGGTTTATTAAATATTTACTATATCTTTAATCGGATATATGTTTTCAACCTGTCAGTGTCCCTGAAGGGGTCGCTGCACTATATATAATCAATTTTTACATTTTTTTTTTTTTTTTTTTAGAAATTTTTATTAAATACTTATCTTTAATTAAACATATGTTTTCATTCTGTCCGCGACCTCTACTAATTCTATCGAAATATTTCCCTTTATCCCTTTCTTCTATTTAAAAGGAAGTAACAGTCGTAATATAAATAGTAAACATATTGGTATGAAATAAAATTATATGATCATCAACTTTACTTCTTCCATTAATTCTACAGAAATATTTATCTCTCTACACCTTTCTACATAAAAAACCGGAAAAAAAACAGGTTTTACGACTTTTACTTCACAAACATATTGATATGACAAAAATTATACTATACAGGGTGAGTCGGGAGGAGCGCACCAAACTCTAGGAGTATATTATACACGTGAAAATAATGTAAAAAACTCATATGTTCTTATCTGATTTTCATTTGTTTTCAAGTTATGGCATAATTAAAAATGTTCATCTAGCTTTCCACTTCTGAATTTTAACATTATCAAAGTATGCCATATGTTCAAGGCTCAAAGGCATTTGATAATTCTGACGTTTTGATGAACTGTCAGTGTACAGTGAACAGTAACTGAACGTTTAATTTCGAATTTATGTGATTGTTAGTGTTACAAAATGCCAGATACTTATTCAAATTTAGAACATGCAAATATGGTGTTTGTTTTATGGGTAAATTTGTTTATTTGTTAATATGCTATAACTTGAAAAAAAAATAAAAATCGGATAAGAACATATGAGTTATTTTACTCCTAGAGTTTGGTGCGCTCCTCCCGACTCACCCTGTATACTAATTATATCGACATATTTACACTTGTTTCGACCCTACATAAAAAACCAACCCAAATAAAAAAAACACGTGTTACGACTTTTACTTATTCTAAATGATCAAACTTACCGTTTTAATTTTTAATTCCTCCTCTGTCCTGTAGACGTTCAGCAATGGAGTAACTCTAACCAACAGCCTCCACCAGGGCCAATCTCGAACCGCTATAAATTTTCTAACGTTCCTCTGAATACATCGTACAGCCAAATCCTGCAATTTCTTCTGCGCCAACTTCTTTCTGGCCAAGTAACCTCGACAGTTAGCCTGGAGGTTGACAACCATACCAGCCAGACGCTCGTCGCGCTGCGTTTCCAACTGAGAAATGACGCCATTTCTGAAGAAGATCTGAAAACATCCAGTTAAATTAATTTATATAAAATGAACGGTTTTATTGCAAAGATAGTTGTCCACAAAATAGTAAGCAATATCAAAAGAAAACACTGTAGTGATTAAACAATACCGCACCAAGAGAAGCTCGGCGTATTAAGATGACAGCGGTCAACGGAGACGTAAGAGAAACGGTTGTGTTTTACAGGGGAGTCAATTTTGCACAGCAATGTAGACAGTTAGCTGCGCGGCGACGTAAACTTCTCCCTTCATGATTTAAATAACCTCCAAAACTAATATCTCGTGTCATCATGAACATAAATCCCAATATTTTATTTGACTTAACGTTAATTAATCGTAGAAAAATTTAGGTAATAAATTTTTAAGATAATTAAACAATTGAATGTAAGAATGATTTTATTTTCTATACAATATTATTAAGTTTTATTTTATGAAACACCCGGTTCTTTTTAAACGCACGAAATATTTGTCTTCCAAAATAGCTACAGACTATGTTTACATTAACACCATTAAGATATGGAGATATCGGATTACGAATATGGGAACTAAGGATAAAATATCGAAACAGGCATAAAATACAGATCATTCTGAATTTGAGTTAGTCACTTTACGGAACAAAATTAAAGTTCGTTCCAATAATAATAATAAAGAAAAAAACTGGTGAATATTAATTTTTGTGAGTGGCTGTTTGCTGAACAGGGTGAGTTTTTCTCACTGAGTAATTATATTTTATCAATTAGTTTTGTTTTAATTTGTAATCAAGTTATTTTGCAAATTATATTACCCAATTATTATCTATCAATCTTTTATAGTTAATTTGTCAATTCTGACGTAAAGATATTTTGTCAAGTATTGAGAAAACTTTATATCCTAAATTAACGGGGTTATATTAAATAATTAAAACTTATTTAAATTTGACTATTTACTTATATTTTGTTTTCCTCTACGAGGTGTAATCAAAAGTAAAGTGAGTTAGATTGTCTGTTCTGGCGTAGTACATTGCGATCAATATTTTGACATATTTATCATGTATAATTTTCTTGTTAATTAAAAGGATAATAAGTATTTTATTTATGGATATCACCTTTTCATGACTTTCTTTAATATAAAGCTACCTTTGGTAAACTTGATTGCTCATACTTGTTTTTCTTTTATTTCAGGTACGCCATCTCATAAGGGCATTAATTACATCTCATACGTGCATTAAGTATTTTATCTATTTTATTTTAATATTATTTTATTTGCATTTTATTCTTTTTTCATTTAATACTTATTTCTAAATAATTTTATTTTGTTCTATATTTTATATTTCAATTTAAAGTTATTAAATCGTTTATTGAATTAATTTCTAGTTTTTCCTGACATAGATTAAATAACTAAATATTACCGCCCAAATTTATAATAGATATTTTTAAATTATAAATATCGTCCTATATGAATGCCCTAATTTCCATTGGATTACATTATGTGGTTACGTTCGTCGTTTGTAAAGAAAAACGAGAAAATAATACAACAGAGGCCGTTCCAATATTCGATCATGTATTGGAATAGATACGCCTTGTTTACATAAACAATTGTATTATGAAAATAAGGTCCATAATCGCATGCACAACAAACGATGGTACCAGCAGAGGTTGCCACAGTGTCTCTTTCGGTTGAACGTATAAGGATAATAATGATTAGTTCCCAATGTTTCAAGGTTCAAGATACTTAATATGGAGCTTAATATTTAACAGTTCATTCAAGAATCTGAATATTTAATTTTTTTCTGCATTGAATCGGTGTTTAAATTAGATGTTTTTAGATTTTCTTCACTAGGATACATCGGTTTAACCATTAAATACTATATTTTAACTGAACACTCGGCAACCCTGTTTGTGTATGTTTTTAAAAGTGTTGTTCGGTGTTTTATTTTAGTGGAATATTCTTGTTTTATTTATTTATATAAAAGAAATTGTTTACAAATGTGATTATACATTTCAAAACAGTAAAGAGATGCATAGTTTTCCGAACATTTTGGACCAAAACCACCTAAAACCAATGCTCGCTATTTTCACGAGTAGGTTATGTCAAAATCAATCTCATGAAATGTAAATAATGTAGATATCCATGGGCGTAACAACTGTGTTAGGGTTTTATTTATTTCTTGATATAAAAATACCTAATTGTAGAAACTGGTTATTTTATGGTATATACATTTACAGGATTTCGAGAGACATTGTCCAAAGTCCTTGTGGCTGAATAACTTGAAAATAAATGAGGAAGATCTCAAAACTGAAAGATGCCAAAGTTTGTTCAGATTACTTTTCACCTGAAGATTTATTTAGCTATAATAATCGAACATTTTATTTGAAATCCAATGTTTTGCCAATATAGTAAGTAAACAAGTGTCTTTATATACATACTTTCGTATTGATATAAGTAAAAGGTAATTTATAAGTAGTTATTGCAAACGCCTACTTACACCTAGTTAAACAATTCTTTTTGAAACTAAGTGTTATTGGGGTCTATTCTGTAACAATTCCTTTATATTTAACGGCCTTTAAAAATATTGGCGGCCTTTAAAAATAGTTTCTTATTCGTTAATTTACTTCTATCATTATTTAAACAGATTTCTTTAAGATAGTCCTCTAATGTATTTTAAAGATCCGTTTAAATAATGACAGAAGTAAAGGAGAAAATATTTTTAAAGGCCGTTAAATATAAAAGAATTGTTACAGAATAGACCCCATTGAGGTCTAAAATACTGTGAAAAATAGCTTAGGACTGTTGTCTCCCAGTTGTAGTTTAATAAACACAAAGTAAACTTTTTTGATTATACTAAACCCATTATTGAAAACTTATAATTTTTTTTAGTACATACATCGTTGAGGGAAGTAGTACAGAAAATGTATATTGTGGAAACGTATGATGATTATATTTATGGTAGGGGAAGAGAAGCGATACTAGCGCAAGCTGCATATAATTCGACCACTTTAGGGCGATATTTTGTAATTTTGGCGTATCAAATAACGTATACATTTTACTTTTATTGCAAAAAAAAGTAAGAACAAAAAGGAATCTTCTAAAAAGTAAGTTTTTTACTTCTTCTACAAAATTAAATTATTTTTAAATTCTAAGATATTTTGTAATTTATTATTTTTTTAAATTTATTAGAGTTCTGTGAATAAGAAAAGGAAACATCAATCCACGTACTGCACCAATGTGAAAGCCTAACTAAATTGAGGTTTCTAATACTAGATGAAGAAAAGCCAGACACATGTAACTACATGCATGTGGATGCCAATGTAAAGGAAACTAAGTCTAATAAAAAAGTCCAAGCTTAGATGACATACTCTAAAACAAATGGAGTCCCACAATAGATCTGTCAAACTCCTTTTAAATCTAATATCTAATCTACCCTTATTTTTGACGAAAGCGTCGTGACATGCCACTCATATTTTGGTAAGCCTTTTTTGTACAATTAGCTATCGCATCGGAATTTTTAATAATTTTTACGTAAAAGTCTTCAGTATTCTAAAAAATTCTTCATGTATTCGTTTAATTGGGCATTTAGAAGCAAATTGATATGAAAATATTGTTTATTATTCGCGCTCATAAGAAGCCTATATAATAATTGCAAATGGTTACAACGTTGCCAACTATTAGTTAAAATGTTAATATTGCATAAAATGTTTCAATAGGTAGAAAATTAAAACAATAACCAATTACCCAAATATTAGAAGGAAGACAACTAAACTGGTTTGGTCATATTAAAAAAGGTTAAACCAAGAAATTATGGGTTTGGTTTGCAGAGCATAACCTAAAGCTACTAAACAGTAACAATGACATTATGGTTTTCGTACGAGCAGATCAAATCATCATGAACATCTCCCAATCATTATAAAAAAGAAATGAAAGACTTGCAATTCGAAAAATACCTGCCACACGACGAGGTCATCGAGAGGTTTTACAGAGAATTATTTATGATGGCTACTTGCGAGCGTGAGACTAATAAGGAGAGCCATGCTTAACTCTTTTTTTTTTGTTTTAAGCAAAAACTAGTTAACTTTTTACTGATTTAAAATGCAGTGTCGTGTGAAAAAGAAAGATGAGGTTCTATTATTTGAAGCTCACTTCATTCAAACACATCACATTTTCAAGCTCTGTCAAAGTTTATTGGGCCCATAAATTTTAATAAACGTTCTTGCAACTTATAATCCTTAAATAAATAAAAAAATATACCTTTTTAGATTCTGCAACCTGAACGTGCTTGCTTAAATCGATTCCACTATCTTCATCTTTCAAAGAAATATCCAAAACCGTATTCAGCGAACCAGAACTTTTTATAGATGTTGACGATGCCTCCTCGCAGTCTAACTCGATTTCATTAGAAATGTTTCCGGAATCATCCGAATTGTCAGAGTTGTAATCTAAATCTTTCTTTAAATCCACTTCCTTAATAATTTTGTTATTGTCAATATAGTCATTCGGATCTAATTCGTAATTTAGGTTTTCATTACATTCTGCTTTAAGTTTTTCCAAAAATTGTTGTGTATTTTTTAGATTAAGTTTGACTGCTTCTACTTGTTGTTTCTTAAGAGTACTTTTAGTGGTACCATTTGGAGTTTTAACGTTTTTAAGGTCGACTGGTAATTTTTGAGAATTAGTTGTTGCAGGTTTTTTAGGTGATATTTTATAAGTATCTGTTTTAAGCGCTCTAGGCTTTATATTAGAACTTTTACTTTCTTCTAATTTCTGAATAACTTTCTTCACCTTTTCTTTAGGTGCTTTTAAAACTATGAATGTATCTTTTGAAGTTATATCTTCAATTTTACCAATTTGTGTTAATTTTTCTACAGATTTCGATACTGAAATAAGAGCATTTGTTTCAGAAGCTTTGTGACCTGTTGTTCTATTTGATTGCGGTTTAAGCAAAGCTTTAACAGATCTTGTTTTATCATTATCGATACATTTATTAATATTTTTTGTTTTATTTTGCGATTTCGGTACTAAAT